AAAGCTGAGAGTTTAATTTTTACAACGAAAAAAGCTGAAGTTTGAGAGTGATGTTGTGGATGCTATGGATGGTCTACTTTCAAACCGGTTGATTTGTGAACCACATGGAGAGCCCCTCATTGTATGAATGTTCTCCAAGGATACGTAATGAAACGAGCCTATTCCGAACATTTTTGTCAACAAGCTTGATAGTTTGAAGAGCCGTAGTAGGCGACTCGCCATGTCATCTTCGATTTCTCTCACGCCATATATGATAGACTGTTGACTGAAAAACATATCGGAATAAGTATGCAATCAAGTACCAGGAACAGTGCATCAAGTGTAAGATAATTCATATTCGAAGGATTTAGATGAGAAACGATGAAGCTGTAGTCAGAAAACGGAACTACAACGCCTAGCACTCAAGCTCTTCCTTGAAACTGTTGATGTTAAATTCAAATTGATAACTCTATCAATGAATGGAATATCACTGATCAGGGACGCAACTTTACAGTCTTGGTTGAACAAAACAACTCCATCTAGAGATCTATCACCGGAAGATTTCCTTAGCCAAGGGTGATTTTTGATGGCTCTGATGAAACTTTCTGGTGAGAGGAGCTTCTTTCTCAAGTGCCTGATGAATTTCAGAATCGAGAATACATTGGCTCTTGAGAATGATGATGTCTTAGCTAAACTCATGAGGTGGTTACCAGCAAATTCACAAGCGTTATTGAACTCAAACATAACACCAACAATTTTCAACTCTTCTTTATACGCCTCAGTCTTTTTGCCGTAGAAGCTTCGATCAACAAGTGGAATATCCACAAGAATTGAGCTGTCCTGCAGAATACTTCCCCATGATGAAGTACGGTAAAACGAATGAGAAAGAGAGCGATAATCTGAGAATCCATTGAACGTTGTTCTCAACCAACTGCCTCCTTTAACAGATTCCAAAAACTTGGGAGGAAGAGAATCTCTATTACACTTAATCCACTCCAAGAGCAACAGAGCATTCTCCTTTCTTAGAGCCCAGACAACGCACGTATAGCAACATTGGGTGGTTTTATGTAAGGTATATATCTAGCCATAGCATAACATGTCAAAAACTCGAGATGCTCTCTCTGATTAAACCGCACACCAGCAAACCTGCCAGGTGACATATACTATTCCCAAAGTTCTATATAGCCTTCCTCCTCCAAGGATTAGACCCAATTAAGCTCACCCATTTACCTGCACTAGCAGGAACAAGAACCCCATTCCTTCTTATGTTAACATATCCATAGTTTTCAACAAGCGGCATGTCTTTGCAACCTCTAACAGCCTCATCACTCGATAAAACATCCTTCCTCAGCGAGTGATGCAGAAAGTGTGCATATGCAATCACAATCTTCTTATCTCCGTTAAGATTTTCCCGGAGACGTTTTGCTTACTCAAAAATACTAATAGATGCAATGGTAATCTTCTCTTTTAGCCAATTGAGAATTGTTTCCTTCTTGGAGCAAGATTTCAACGCTGTCCTGGTTGTCTGTGGCAAGAAAACGAATTTAGTTATGGATCTGAACTCCTCGTTCCATTCAAGCAGCCATGACTAGTTCTGATCAGCGAACAAGCATAACGTCCGTGGACTGAACTCTGCCAAACTACTAAAGGTCACGCCCATCTTCTCTCCATAAATAACTCCTTCCTCTCTTTTCCACCTTATCATCTACTTAGCCTTTGCGATCGGCTTCTGTCCTTTTGAGAGTAGCTTCAGAGTATATTCCGTCAAGATTGCCTTCGAAGTTTCAAGAACCTTAAAGCTAACAAGTCCATGAACGATTCTAGAACATTCCTCAGCGTCAATCTTGAGAGATGGATCAGGGAGAAACACGAGAATGAGCCTCACTAACCCTGAACTAATCAAATTGTTCTCTTGCTGCTCAATCTTGAATCCGTCAGTTAACTCAGTTTCTGCCATGTCCACACATCTGGAGATCTCCTTGACGCCAATTTTTCTGTAAATCTCCCTAAGTATCGTTTGTGGCAATGTTTTGATACTTGGCGTTGGGTACCAGACGAAAATAGGGGAGCCTTTGAACAGATCTTTCAAGAGCAAGTCATCTCCAGTGGTTTACACTTTACACCATTTTTTACACTATTTGTTACACCAAAATAGTGTAACACTAAAATGGTGTTGGGTTTTGCTTCAATGTATTACACCAATTTTTTACATCAAAATGAAATATTCTTAGTATATTCTCTTTTTAAATTCTTTAAAAATTAC